CCCAAATGACCCCTTTTTGCAAAGTAGACAGTCCAAGGTATTTATTAAGAGGCATGATGAATTTTTTTGATGTTGTAATTTTTTCCCCACAATTCTTTGGAAATTTAAGAAATTACATTTTTTTTTCCAGAAAATTTTTACATTAACAAGTTAACACAGCATAGGCATACTTCTAAAATATTCTGCTATTCCTCCCGGCGATACCACATGTGTGAAACTTTTTCACAGCCTAGCCATCTAGAGAGGCCCAACATCCATGGAGCACCTTCAGGTGTTCTAGGGACATAAGTTACACATCTAATTTCCTGACTACCTATTACACTTTGGAGGGCCCTGAAGCACCAAGACAATGGAAATACCTACACAATTACCACATTTTGGAAAGCAAACACTCATATTCTATAAGGCATAATAAGCCGTTTGAACATGTAATTTTGTTTTCTGCAAGGTTTTGGAAAATGTGGAAAAAGTACTTTTTTTCTTACACAAAGTTGTCAATTTATAAGATATTCTAACACACAGCATAGACGTACCAAATATCACAACCCAAAATACATTTTGCTACTAGTATGGCAGTTTTCACAGCCTAGCTGAACAAAGGCTAAACAAAAGATTACCTGTGGTTTTAGCAGAGCATTTGTCTGAAAATTAGAACATTGGTCCAGGAAGTAAGCAGAGTTGTGGTCAGCAACAGCCAAAAAAAATTGCCTAGGCAGCAGGCAGGAATATGGTTCATAAACAGGCAAGGGTCAGTACAGGCAGCAGGCTGACATCCAGGCAGCAGGCAGAAACATGGTTTATAAAAAGTCCTGGATCATTAGAGGTAGCAGGCAGAGACATGGTTAGCACAGCCAAAGTATTGGTCCAGGCAGCAGGCAGGAACATCAGGCAAGACCTGGGCACAGGGGTAGAGGCTTCTTCCCACCCAATCTTTTTTGAAGCCTCCGGACTCCAGACCCTGATATGGGAATTACAAAACCCAGAGAAATCCAAAAACTGTTTTTCTCTACTTGGAACGCTACTCTAAAGTCCCTCACATATGTGAGACCCCTGTGTTATCTTGAATCCGACTAGAGTACAGTAGCAGGGAAAAAAAAAAACAGCCTCAGCGGAAGGCAAAAAACATGGTCAATTAACAGCCCGGGGTCAGTGCAGGTGGAAGGAGAAAGGTGGTTGATAAACAATCCAGACAGCAGGCAGTGGCATTGTCGATAAACAGGCCAGGGTCAGTTCAGTTGGAAGGCAGAAACATGGTTGATAAACAATCTAGACCTCAGGCAGAGGCATTGTCAATAAACAGGCCAGGGTCAGTTAAGGTAGAAGGCAGAGGTATGGTTAGTCAAGGCAGCAGGCAAATGATCAGCACAGATATTAGAAATGGAAAAAATGTCAGGCTATTAGAAATATGGGCACTATACCTGTCAGGGCTCCAGGGTATGACCAGAGGTATGTGACTGACGCAGGGAAACGCAGACTTCAGATATGTTATAAACAATATAATTTATTAAAGACTAACAATACAAACATAAACGCAGTGCACCAAACCCCAAGCTAACACAAATACATACAAGGTGAAACAAACCTAAACTGATACAGATACACAGGTACATACACATATAGAGCACAACGTGATCAGGCAGGCCGGGTCGATAACTATCGGGCAGGTAGGTACAGGAGGAGCAGGCGGAGAGAATGGTCAGGGTCACAAGCCAGGGATCAGAACAGGAGAAGTAAGCAGAGGTCAGGATCAAGCAGGGTCAGCAACAAGACAGGAACAGGAACGCAGGTTTACAAGATACAGGGCCCAGGAAAAACACACACACCAAGGCCAAGACTGCAGGTCTGGCCATCACTTAAATACACCTGCATAAGCAGTTTCAGGTGTTTGGCTGGCTGCAGGGTTGAGTCTCTGATTGCTGGGAGCACCCGCTGGCCAGCCCTGGTACTGCAGCCCACAAGGCAGGTGAGTCCCACCATTACTGGCCAGTCCATTCCTGACAGTACCCCCCCCCCCCCAAGGAGCGGCCTCAGGACGCTCCAAACAGTCCTAGCTGGGCAAAATGTTCCACCACCCGGGTCTGGTAACTGGCGGGATATCAAAGACTGGCAAACCGGGCTGGACTCCGGGCAGAGGCAGGCACACCGGGCTGGACTCCGGGCAGAGGCACACCGGGCTGGACTCCGGGCAGAGGCACACCGGGCTGGACTCCGGGCAGAGGCACACCGGGCTGGACTCCGGGCAGAGGCACACCGGGCTGGACTCCGGGCAGAGGCACACCGGGCTGGACTCTGGGCAGAGGCACACCGGGCTGGACTCCGGGCAGAGGCACACCGGGCTGGACTCCAGGCAGAGGCACACCGGGCTGGACACCGGGCAGAGGCACACCGGGCTGGACACCGGATCACCAGGCGGAGCAGCAGGCACCGGGCCACCAGGCGGAGCGGCAGGCACCGGGCCACCAGGCGGAGCGGCGGGCCCCGGGCCACCAGGCAGGGCGGCGGGCCCCGGGCTCCCCGGTGGGCGCCGGGCCCCCAGGCGGGGCGACAGGCATCGGGCCCCCAGGAGGGGCGACAGGCATCGGGCCCCCAGGCGGGGCGACAGGCATCGGGCCCCCAGGCGGAGCGACAGGTCTCGGGCCCCCAGGCGGAGCGGCGGGCGCCGGGCCCCCAGGCGGAGCGGCGGGCGCCGGGCCCCCAGGCAGAGCGGCGGGTGCCAGGCCCCCAGGAGGAGCGGCGGGCGCCGGGCCCCCAGGCGGAGCGGCGGGCGCCGGGTTCCCAGGCAGAGCGGCGGGCGCCGGGCCCCCAGGTGGGACGACAGGCACCGGGCCCCCAAGCGGGGCGGCAGGCACCGGGCCATCAGGCACGACAGCGGGCATCGAGTCACCAGGCATCAGGTCATTTGGCTCGCCAGTGGGCACCGAGTCACCAGGCACGACAGTGGGCTCCAAGTCAACTGGCATGACCGCGGGCACTGGGTCAGACATTGGATCATCTGGCTGGACAGCGGGCATCGGGTCACCAGGCATCAGGTCATTTGGCTCGACAACGGGCACCGGGTCACCAGGCATGACAGCGGGCACTGGGTCATCAGGCATTGGATTGTCTGGCTCGACAGCGGGCATCGGGTCACCAGGTATGACAGCGGGCACTGGGTCACCAGGCATCAGGTCATTTGGCTCGCCAGCGGGCACCGCATCATCTGGCAAGGCAGTGGGCACCGAGTCACCAGGCATGACCGCGGGCACTGGGTCAGACATTGGATCGTCTGGCTCGACAGCGGGCATCGGGTCACCAGGCATCAGGTAATTTGGCTCGCCAGCGGGCACCGCGTCATCTGGCAAGGCAGTGGGCACCGAGTCACCAGGCACAACAGTGGGCTCTGAGTCAATTGGCACGACAGCGGGCACCGGGTCATCAGGTACCAGATCGTCTGGCTCGACAGCAGGCACCGGGTCATCTGGCGCTGGATCGTCTGGCTCAACAGCGGGCATCGGGTCACCAGGCATGACAGCGGGCACTGGGTCATCAGGCATTGGATCGTCTGGCTCGACAGTGGGCATCGGGTCATCAGGTACCGGATCGTCTGGATCGACAGCGGGCACCGGGTCATCTGGCGTTGGATTGTCTGGCTCGGCAGCGGGCATCGGGTCACCAGGCATGACAGCAGGCACTGGGTCATCAGGTACCGGATCGTCTGGATCAACAGCGGGCACCGGGTCATCTGGCGCTGGATCGTCTGGCTCGACAGCGGGCATCGGGTCACCAGGCATGACAGCGGGCACTGGGTCATCAGGCATTGGATCGTCTGGCTCGACAGCGGGCATCGGGTCACCAGGTATGACAGCGGGCACTGGGTCATCAGGCGTTGGATCGTCTGGCTCGATAGCGGGCATCGGGTCACCAGGCATGACAGCGGGCACCGGGTCATCAGGTACCGGATCGTCTGGCTCGACAGCGGGCATCCGGTCACTAGGTATGACAGCGGGCACCGGGTCATCAGGCATGATAGGATCATCAGGCTGGATCAGTTCATCAGGCTGGGCTCCCCGGCGGAGCGGCGGGCCCCCAGGCGGGGCGACAGGCATTGGGCCCCCAGGCGGGGCGACAGGCATCGGGCCCCCAGGCGGGGCGACAGGCATCATGGGCCCCAGGAGGGGCGATAGGCATCGGGCCCCCAGGCGGAGCGGCGGGCGCGCGGGCCCCCAGGAGGGGCGACAGTCATCGGGCCCCCAGGTGGGGCGACAGGCATCGGGCCCCCAGACGGGGGCAACAGGCATCGGGCCCCCAGGCGGAGCGACAGGCATCGGGCCCCCAGGCGGAGCGACAGGTCTCGGGCCCCCAGGCTGAGCGGCGGGCGCCGGGCCCCCAGGCAGAGCGGCGGGCGCTGGGCCCCCAGGCGGGGCGACAGGCACCGGGCCCCCAGGCGGGGCGGCAGGCACCGGGCCATCAGGCGGGGCGGCAGGCACCGGGCCATCAGGCACGACAGCAGGCATCGAGTCACCAGGCATCAGGTCATTTGGCTCGCCAGTGGGCACCGAGTCACCAGGCACGACAGTGGGCTCCGAGTCAACTGGCATGACCGCGGGCACTGGGTCAGACATTGGATCATCTGGCTGGACAGCGGGCATCGGGTCACCAGGCATCAGGGTCATTTGGCTCGACAGCGGGCACCAGGTCACCAGGCATGACAGCGGGCACTGGGTCATCAGGCATTGGATTGTCTGGCTCGACAGCGGGCATCGGGTCACCAGGTATGACAGCGGGCACTGGGTCACCAGGCATCAGGTCATTTGGCTCGCCAGCGGGCACCGCGTCATCTGGCAAGGCAGTGGGCACCGAGTCACCAGGCACAACAGTGGGCTCTGAGTCAATTGGCACGACAGCGGGCACCGGGTCATCAGGTACCAGATCGTCTGGCTCGACAGCAGGCACCGGGTCATCTGGCGCTGGATCGTCTGGCTCGACAGCGGGCATCGGGTCACCAGGCATGACAGCGGGCACTGGGTCATCAGGCATTGGATCGTCTGGCTCGACAGCGGGCATCGGGTCATCAGGTACCGGATCGTCTGGATCGACAGCGGGCACCGGGTCATCTGGCGTTGGATCGTCTGGCTCGGCAGCGGGCATCGGGTCACCAGGCATGACAGCAGGCACTGGGTCATCAGGTACCGGGTCATCTGGCGCTGGATCGTCTGGCTCGACAGCGGGCATCGGGTCACCAGGCATGACAGCGAGCACTGGGTCATCAGGCATTGGATCGTTTGGCTCGACAGCGGGCATCGGGTCACCAGGTATGACAGCGGGCAGAGGGTCATCAGGCGTTGGATCGTCTGGCTCGACAGCGGGCATCGGGTCACCAGGCATGACAGCGGGCACCGGGTCATCAGGTACTGGATCGTCTGGCTCGACAGCGGGCATCGGGTCACCAGGTACGACAGCGGGCACCGGGTCATCAGGCATGATAGGATCATCAGGCTGGATCAGTTCATCAGGCTGGGTACAGACATCAGGCTGAAGTGCGGGTGCCGAGGCACCAGGCTGAACCACGGAAGGCAGGTTCTCAGACGGCAGGCTCACCGGTTTGGATACTGGCAGGATGGTATTGGTTGGAAAGAATTTTCGCTTTTTTCTGGTTTTAACTACTGGAGCACTGCAAGTAAACGCAGGTCTGCAAACGAATGGAGCAGCTGGAGACAGAGAAGAGCTGGAGGATGGAACAGGGGAGGGAACAGTTGCTACAGAGGGCTTCTTTACAGGGTTAAAGGCAGGATAGGTGCCGCGAGTGGGAACAGGGGACTGATATGCGGTAGGTAGCAGGGTATACTGGGCTGTAACTGGAGGTGCTGTTGGGAATGCAGGAATAGAGCTTTGAACAAATAGATTAGAAGCAGGACTGGGTTTTTGTAAGCTGACTGAGGCTGGGTGCAACAAATCTGTCCATGTCTGCAGTATGGGTTGAACAAAGCTGAGCTTACACAATGCCTGTCTGGTCAAAGACTGCACTGCGTTTATACAATCCCTTAATACCTGTGGTGAACATGCAGCATAATGCTCCAAGAAGCAATCCACATCATCCTCTAATAACCATACCAGGGACTCTACCTGGTCTGCACTAAATGGTGGCAAAAAGTCATTCCTGCTTTCAGGGGTACCAGATGAAGCCAACTCTACACAAACCTGAATCAAAGGTTGCACCTCAGAGAACTCTGTGCCCTGATCTACTAGAACATGAGCGATCCGTATACATTCTAGCAGTTGATCCCGGGTATGCTCCCTCAGAGCCTGATAAGCATATTCTCTGTCATCAAAAACCAGCAGCGACAAATATACAACCTCATCAAGATCCATCCTTCCCAGCAACAAGCCAAGATGGCTTCCCTGTGCAGCCACTTCTGGTCAGGATTGGCCTTGGTGTAATGTCAGGGCTCCAGGGTATGACCAGAGGTATGTGACACGGAAACGCAGACTTCAGATATGTTATAAACAATATAATTTATTAAAGACTAACAATACAAACATAAACGCAGTGCACCAAACCCCAAGCTAACACAAATACATACAAGGTGAAACAAACCCAAACCTAAACTGATACAGATACACAGGTACATACACATATAGAGCACAACGTGATCAGGCAGGCCGGGTCGATAACTATCGGGCAGGTAGGTACAGGAGGAGCAGGCGGAGAGAATGGTCAGGGTCACAAGCCAGGGATCAGAACAGGAGAAGTCAGCAGAGGTCAGGATCAAGCAGGGTCAGCAACAAGACAGGAACAGGAACGCAGGTTTACAAGATACAGGGCCCAGGAAAAACACACACACCAAGGCCAAGACTGCAGGCCTGGCCATCACTTAAATACACCTGCATAAGCAGTTTCAGGTGTTTGGCTGGCTGCAGGGTTGAGTCTCTGATTGCTGGGAGCACCCGCTGGCCAGCCCTGGTACTGCAGCCCACAAGGCAGGTGAGTCCCACCATTACTGGCCAGTCCATTCCTGACAATACCTAATATTTTAGGGACATTTGATAACATTGGAAGTAGTCTCCGATGCATAGGCACGGTTTGGAGTGACATTGGGGACAAAGAAGGCTGGTGTCTCTCCTAACTCTCGCTCTGCTGCATACCAGACTTTTTTTTTTTTTGGCGTCTTTGGCCTGCTTCTGTGGGTGGAATATTCTCTGGAAAATGTTGCTCATGAAGTCTGCTTACAAAATCAGAACAAATGCTTTCTGGTGGAGATACTTGCTGGTAGATCAGGGCAGTGATGGCATCTTTTTTTTATAAATTTGAGAAAGGTGGTGGGTCTTTCCATTGGCTTGAGATAGGTGATATACATATTATAAATGGCCAAATGGAAAAGTCTTGTTAATAAATAGGGCAGTAGCATTTGATCACTGAAATCCACCCCCTCGTTAACTGATTATTATCATGGATACAGTTCAGGCTTAGGCGTCTTCTTTGAATTTCCACCACGGTGTCATTGTAGATGGTGGATGTATGCATTCTCCACTTCACAGCCAACACTTCATTGTTCTTCAGACTCACTTGTGACAGGACAGGGGCTTTTGGAGGAGACTGCAGGCTAGCCTCTTGCCTATTGTTCATGGGCCCTGGCATAAAATTCCTCAAGAACAGTGCTGCGCTGCCCCCTAGTGACCCAAAAAATAAACTAATAATAAATAAATACCTTCCTGAGCATCAAACCCAATGTGTAAATTAATAAATCTGGGCAACAAATAAAGTCAATAGTAAATAAGAAAACTGGCTGAATAACTAAATCCAAATGATATGTGAAGCATATAAAAAATAAACCATAATCAAGTAGCAATAAACACCTGGCCAACCTATAAATAAACTGAGCTGAAGAATAAGAACAAGAACAGTAAAAAAATGTGAAACATATATCAGAAATAAACACGATCATAAGATCACAATAGCTATGATAAAAACCCGGCTGAGCTGAAGGGGGAAAACCAACAAAAATAGTATTAAATTATTGTAAAACAAATGCTCGGCTGAGCAATCAGCCCCTCCCAATGTTATCAATAGGTGATGAACTAAGTAAGTGTTCAACTGGGCTAGATTTTCACAAAGAGTGTGCAATAAAAAATGATAAGCAAGCCTGAACATGTCACCTATCGGGAGCTCGATGTGAGAGCTCCCAGACAGTAAACACTTACTGCAACCCGCCAAACAGTGATGCCCAGGAGGCTGCGACATACCTAGGGCTTCAGGGCTGCTCCTTAGGGGAAGTTGTCTGAGTGGGGTGCGTTGCCCCCTGTGTTCCTGGTGATGGTAGTGGTGGTGGGGCAGAGGACGAGTTTGAGGAGCCAGCTGACAGGAGAGAAGGCAGATCCCGCTGGAGGTCGGAGTGGTGATGCCGGATGGTCATGTGGCCACCGCAGAGGAGTGCTTGGAGGCAAAGACACCAGCCAGCTAGGCATGGAGGAGAGCCTGACCCCACTGCCACAGGACTACTCAAGGCCCGCGGAGCCCTACAGAGGGTGATCCCCCTAAACAGTCACCGTCGCTGATGAGGTGTCCGACCGCCGTACTGTGGGGAAAATCCTTGTGGGAGGAGGAAGACCATCTGTAGCCACTCCAGCTAAAGAAAAAAAGGTGGCATTGAGAAAGTATATGAAGGGCTACTGAGAATGGTGAGTTAAAATTTAAAATTGGACTTGTACTGTTTAAAGCTTAAAAGGGGGGTCACCCAGGGGGCCCAGAAGGAACAGACACAGAGACATAAGAGAGAAATAGACCTCAGAGACTCCTAGTGAGGGGAAGGAAGGAAAAGGAAAAGAACATTTTCAAGGGACACTACCTTCGGAGGGCCTTAACCTTAATTTGCTCAGTGGAAGGAACCACTTTGCCAGGGAAAATTAGAAAAATATATTAACATCATGAAAAGTAAAGCTACAAAAGGGGGAGGGCCAAAGACATCCCAAACAAGTTCTATCAAAAGATATATACCCTCAAAAGAAAAACATTTAGAGGGACAAACCCCGGAGAGACATCAAGGAGTAAGTGGAAGAAGGGAGGTGGAAAACGCTAATGGTGATCGTTACAGATTGTCAATGGGAGTATCTAATAACAGTCAAAACAGATATAGAGAATGAGTTGGTCAGTGAGACCCCTGAAGAGCAAGAGAGGACCTCACAGATGCTTACTAAATCCGATATAGCAGACATATTTATGAGGTTGCACTGCTCCATAAAACAGGAGATGGCAATAATACATAAAGATCTGGGGCAAGTTTTGTCACAAGTAGAGGAGACTGAGGGGAAACTGGATAAACATGCCCAAGTAATAACAAAGTTGGAAAAACAGATGGAAGAAATGAGAATGGAGCAAAGGAATCTGCTATAAAAACTGGAAGATCAGGAGAACAGAGATAGAAGGTGTAACCAGAGAATACGAGGTTTACCTGAGACCTCGCAAGGAGAAGATTTCATTGAGATAATGGTGAAAATATTTGACACAGTAAATGGACCAATGAGCAATGGAGCATCTGAGGATCGACAGAGTAAACAGAACAGGAAGACTCCAAGGAAGCGGTAGCGGAAACCCTAGAGATGTGATTGTACGATTCCATCATTATAAAGGTAAAGTGGAGCTATGGAAGATGACAAAAGGAAGACCAGTAATAAAATATGGAGAAGCAAATTTACAAATTTTTACTGATATATCATCGGAAACATTGGCCAGCAGGAGAACGCTGAAACCATTACTGGAACAGATGAGAAAACAAAACGTACGATACAGTTGGGGGTTTCCAGCATGCTAATCAGATGGAAAGACGGTCATTCTGCAAGACTGAGATTTCTTGAAGACTTGAGAGACTTTTGTGAGAGACTTGATCTATTTCAGATAGATATTTCAGGATGGGAGGAGGGGGCAAAAGAGAATAGCGGATCAGAAAATGAGAGTTGGCAGGTGGCCCCCAAAAGGAAAATGCACCAGAGATAAAGTGGGGAAGAGGAGGAGGAATGGGAGGGAGATTATTGGAAGCCCATAGTTGATTTTCTTTTTTATCTTTTCCTTCTCCTCTTCTCCTGAATAAGGCAAAAAAGTGTTTGGAAGAAAGGTGGGAAACAGGAAGTCGCACATACATCCAGTTATGCGGCCCAGGGTTTGGGAATGTGGTCAGGATGGGTGTATGTGGTCAGAGCTCAACCCTAGCTCGGAATTGATAGTGGGATTAGGACCACAGACGATTTTAAGGCAAGTTAAGAGCTTAGGGGGGGATATGGAATGGGTGGGAGAGGGGGAGGGAAGGGGAGGGAGAATTATGTAGAGGATAGCCCCTTGTTCCTTCAAATGGATGATGTTACTCTCGCTGGGAAGAATTTAGGTGGAGGAAAAGGGAGAGAAAGGAGGAAGAAGGGACAGAGCAAGGGAAGGAAGATAGAAAAAAATATACATATACACACAGGGAATGGAGGAGGTTAGATTTATGACCTATAATGTTAATGGACTAAATA